CAGCTGGGGCTGGCACAGGGGAAGAGGGAGGCTGGATGCTGATGAGCAGAGGAGGAGGGAGGGAAAGAGAGAAGCAGAAGAATTTGGCGCTGAGGCTGAAGGCGAAAACCTGGAGGCTGATCTTGCTGTAGCGTAAACTGAGCAGTTCCTGTCTCTAGGCTTTCAAGTAAACCCACAAAGATGTGCCTGGAAGTAGGTTTCCTGGTTTGTGACTCCCCCCTTTTGTTCTTCCTGCCTTTCCTTTCTTCCCACCCCTCCTTGTCCCTTGCTCCATTCCAGTCATGTGTGTCTCCTGTGACTGGAGGGCAGTCACTGCAAGGGCAGGAGAGCTGCTGTGGGTGGCAGCGTACCCGGCCTGCCCCAGGAGACCCGGCCCGGCTGCTGAGAAGAGCACTGCTCTAGGAGAAGGGAGGCTTGATTCTGTCACCAACTTCGCGATAACAACTATAATAAAGGCTGGCATTTACTGAATATTTTTATGAGCAGAGCACTTTACATGGATTATTTTGTTCACCCACCAGTCCTTGAGGTTCAGCTGTTCATTTTAAAATTACATGCTGATAGTCACAGAGTGGGTGCCATCACCATGATTCAGATCCAGGTTTGTCTGTTCCCAGAGCCCATCCTCTTACTCGGTTCCAGCTTCTCCCTTCCTAGAAAGCTCCTTGACCTCGGTGTGCCTCCGTTTCTTTTCCTATGAGATGGGGGTAATTCCTTCACAGAGCTATATCTGCACATAGCTGTTATAATGTAGTAACAAATACAAAAAGTTTGCATTTGTTAGTACATTACAGTGATAGCTGTGTCGATGAAATTGGGCTCTGGGGCACCCAGACTGTTTGAGGTTTCTACTTCAGAGAGGCGGCAGGAGGACCACTGGTCAGGCAGTTCCGTTAAATGCGTATAAATGAGTAGCAAGCTAAAAATCCTGTCCTTTGTAGACCCACAGAGCTGGGACTCGGTGGAAAGGGAATGGAGTCTGCAACTGACTGGAAGCTTGCCCCAGGTTAGGGGCAGGGAGTGACCAGCAGTCCACAGTATCCATAGGGCACAGCAAACACCCAGCTTGATTGTATTCAGGATCAGTCCACAAGTCTTATGCTACAGAGAATCTGATCCCTCATGGATTTCTCACCAGTGATGCATTTGAGCAGGGTCAGTGCTAGAGTTCAAGAGACCGTTTTTGAGCGGGACCCAAGTGCATGATCAGCATCCTGTCTGAGCCTGGGGAAGCCGAAGCCTGGAGCCAGGGTTCGGATGGGACAAGCTGAGTCGCCTGTCAGGCTGACCAGTTACTGCTTGGCTGTTAATAACAGCAGTAGCTGTCATAGCAAGTATTTTCTGTGTAGGGGACAGTGTGTGCCAGGTGCCCTTTACCTGCATTTCCTGACTGAATCCTTAACAACTGCTCTTTGAAGTAGCATTTTGCAGGTTGAGGAAGTTCAGGTTTTGATCAAGGTCAGACAACCAGTGGCAGTGTTGGAGCTTTTAACCATGCTGGTGGGCTCAGGCATCAGAGGTTTAAGAACTCTAGTCCCTGCCTCTGGTGAGGCTGACTCTTAAGGGCATCCTGCCTGGGAGAGGGCAGTGGCTGGGACGCCCTTCTTGAGCCTTGAACACTGGGCACAGACTATGTGTTCTCTTTCCAGTGCCCAGTTGTAAATCTTGCTGCTCTGGGATTGCTGTGGCACCACTCCTGAGCTCGGGATCCATCCATTGGTGGGATTTCCCTACATGATCTGATGTAGGTGGGCTTAGCAGTCTAGCCTAGTGGTAAAAGGTCCTGGTTTTTCAAGCCAGGTTCTGCTTATGATCTTGGGTAATTTTCTTTGTGCCTCAGCTTCCCCTCTGTTTAAATGGGGTTGTGGTGAGGATATCGGAGTTTTAATGTCCGTAAAGTGCTTAGCATAGTGCCTGGCACGACATCAAGTGTTCAATAATTGATAACTGCTGTTACTAGCTATTAACCAACCGCTAGTGGGTCCAGGGAGACTTTCAGCCTTAAAACACTTGACGTGCTGCCAGCCTGGGACACAGGGCCGAGCACCATGATTGCACCTGGGGAAACCTCTGGGCGCAGAGAACTGTTTTTCCAGAGACGTAGACACAAAAGAAGGGAGCCCATGGAGTCATCAGGGCCGTGCTCATCAGATCTGGAAGTACTTCCTTCTGGCTTGAGACCACTGCCTGCTTCAACTCACAGCTGGGTGAGGGTGTTTCAAAGGAAAGGCCCAGAATGGAAGAAAGGAATCCAGCCTTTTGGCAGCACTTCCTGACTGATCATCTGTCAGAATGGATCTTTCCCCTCCTTTTTTCCATCTGCTGGGCATGTTGAAAGCCTTCAGATTTCAGCTGGTTCTGCTGTGTCAGGTCACCAAAGATGCTTTGATGTGGAGGGCTGGTTGGGTAATGGGTTACGGCCTCTTTGGGAGGCCCATCTGCTCTGTCCCTACCTGAAGGCCTTGGCACCAGGATTTGGAGGAAGCTGGTACAATGAAGCCTCTGTCCAGCAGGGGCAGCGGTGAGTGGCCTGGGGGAGCTGGGTCAGTCAGAAGCCAGGAAATCCTCTTTTCCTGCCAGGTACCTGGTCTTCCCTCAGCAGCAGGAGCCGAGCAGCAAACCCTGGTGAGTCAGCGTGCCTGGGAGTCAGGGCTGCCGCTCTGTTTGCATGTGGGGTTTGTGTAGGTTTGGGCCTTTTGTTTCTTTCAGCACGTTAGTCTTCAGGAGCACAAGTCTGGAAACCAGACCCTCCACATGGTACAGTCCTGCTTGTTTTGAGACAATTCAGCTCGAACACTTGCATCCCTTGTGTGCTGGTCTTCCAAGAATTAACCCCTTGCCTTTTCAGATTTTAACAGGTTGTGCTTCTTGCTTCCTAGCTATACTCTAAAAGCATAAAAACTTAAAAAAAAAACTTGATTAGGTCTGTCATTTTCCACACCAAAAGCCTTGTGAGGGTTTCAGTGTGTTTTTTGAAACTTAGGTGAAACTGCACGTTGTTTAAGGGCATGTACAGTCTTGTCTCTTTGTCATTCCTCCTCTTTGAGGGTGGAGAATGGGACACACCCAGATGCGATGAGACTCCAGTAACTACAGGAATGATCCTGGTCTTCATTTTAAACTTGTACACTCAGAAATTCCCCTTAGAATTCCTTCTGAAGATAACTTCAAATTTATCCAGGTGCTATTTGGAGGAAGCTTAAGTTCTTTAGGTAAAGTTAAAACTCCAACTTTCCATTAAAAGCACCCTGCCTTCTGCCTCACTGCCAGTATCCTTCGGGCTTTGAATTTGGATTGTGAAGGTCTGGGGAGGCATGGGACTGACATTGATTTGGTCTGTTTTCCCTACTACACTTCTGTCTCCTGGTCCAAATTTCTATTAACATTGTAATTTCAGAGGCTGCACTTGCTATACAGCAGGTGGAAAAATTTTACAAATACTAAATTTTAGATGGATCTTCTAGTGGACTGGCTGAAGGTAAGAATAAGAGTCTTGAGTAGATAGTCTTCAGAGAAATCACCTCACCCCTGGCCCAGCAGTTCTGTAAAAAAACACTTTTTAGTTATGTAAGTAATAAGTAAGCCACAGTGATGAGTTTGTTATATATTGGGGCAGACTTTTCTTTTTCATCTAGCAATTATCTTATCACTTAGTGACTGTATTTGGGTAAGAATCAGCCCTTCTTTAAAAATGGAGACACCCTCTTGGAAGACTGGGCCTGGAGGCCGTGTGGGACGTT